AAAATTTGTCTGACTCTAAAGCTGTTTACGTTTCATGACAAGCCAGAGTGGATTACGAATCTTCTATTTCACTTATATAATAAAAAAATCAAGTGAAATAATCTCAAAATAATTAATAATGTACTTATATATAAATAATATACTTATGATTTATATTATTTATATACAATAAAATATTTCATTAATTATTTAAAACCCTTTCCACTCACTGATTCCGAGATTTATATGAATTTTGCAGCCAGAGCGGCGGCATCCTAGTGGAAAGGGTCAATACAATTCATTCTTGAATTATTTTCATAGTAATATATATTAATATTGTTCAATTAAGTAATATATTTATATATGTAAACAATTTATATAATTATTATATTTAATATATATAACTATATATATATATATATATATATATATATATATTATTAATAATAAATTATTTATATTATTATTAATTATTCCAGTAAGTAATATATAATTAATTGGAGCTAATCTAATAAAACTTTCGAAAAATAGCAAACTTTTCGATACCGTTTAATGGCGTTCAGTTCTATTTGCGATAGAACTATTTTGTTATAATTTATTTTTGTTAATCAAGAGCCTCATATATATGGCAAAAAAAAAAAAAACTAAAAAAAAGTTTATAACCTCATTACCTGTGTATGTCATTAAAATTACCATTTTCAACCAAAATCTTTTATGATACTCACATAAATAATCTTAATTATCTTAGAGATGGTGTCCGTAGTACTCGGCCGGATAGTGCGCGTAACCCTGGTGGAAGGCGGCCGGGTCGCCCGCCGGTGCATCATCTGCGCCTGGCCGTCCATCATGTAACCCATGGACCCGTCGGGACTGTACGCGCCGCTGGGACCTGCGTGCGGAGAGAACACTGCAATGATCAGACTGGTTAAGAAGTGCTCCGAGGAATCATTACTGAGGGGGGGACGATTGCGATGTCACACTCGAAATAATAATAGATACATACTGAATTGACTAGACTGGTGTACTTTGAACTATCCTTCTAAAGTAACTGATTAAATACTTTAACTAGTCGTGCATCGCAGCATGCCTTAAAGCAAATTTCTGGAACTTTCTGTTTAAATTTAAAAAACCTTTAAAATTTTTAAAGGCAAATTGCTGGAACTTTCTGTTAAATTTGAAAAAAATTTTTTGAAAATTTTGAAAAAAAAAGAAATTTTTGAAAATTTTGAAATATTTGAAAAAAAATGACTTTTTTGAAAAATTTGAATTTTTAACTTCCCGTAGGGTTGGTTATAGTAATCGCAAAAAAAAATCGAAAATGAAAATTTTTATATATCTTTACGTTTCAAAACCTTCTGAACATTTGGCATACCTTAGAAAAAATGGATGTATGTGTGTGTGCGGATACAAATTGATTGATTTGTTTCTTCATTAGTGTAAATTTAAATTTTTATCATTGTATTTGTGTATAAATATAATGTATATTAATATGATCATCAAAATGTTGGCAAATGAATTGCTATAACTTTTTTGAATACATTTAAATTTTCGTAAAGCTTAATTTAAGAATTCTTTTTCAAACTATTTCTTACTAGAATAAATAATATCAATAATATCATAATTTTCAGTGTGACATCGCAATTGTAGAGTGAAATCACAAAATCATACAATCGACGTGATTGCACTCAGATTTATAGAGATGCTATATTAGCAAAAAGTAATAACTATAAGTAAAAAGTAATAATAAAATTTGTTACTATTAATTACATAATCAAATAATTATTAATAACTGGAGTACTCTAATCATTTTGTATTCATAAATTTAGACATTAAATAAAATTAGAATAACTATATTACTATAACTATGATTATTATACTAACAACAACTAAACTCACTACAATTCATTACATTTACTATAATTTGCATGCTTTTAATTAGTTGGTTTCATATTATATGTTGATATATAAATCACAGGGTTTGAATAATGATAAATGAAGTTTTGTTTTACACAATTTCTCAAATTGTTACATTTACTCGTTTTGAATCATTATTATCGCAAAGTTTATTATTACCATAGATTTAAAAAAAAGTGTAATTAGGTCTCAAATACGACCGCTTACCATAATTTCAATTAATTCTTTCCGCACTCTTTAGGGGCGCTACTAACTGTAGCAAGTAAATTTACCCCTAGGTTTAAGTCTAGCTAAAATTTATATGTAAATCAATAACATGAAAAAGATAAAGCTGATTATTTGAATAAATGAAAAGGAAACATATTTTCAACTAAATCACAAATATGTTTTCAAAAAAAATATATGTTAAAAAAATTGTTGAACATTACCCCCCCCCCCCCATTGATTACTATAACACATTTTGTTTAGATATAATATGCAAAGAAAAAAATGAATAATAAGTTTCCATAAAGATCTGTGTTCTCACGTATATATTAATACACTAGATAAGTTTCCTAAAATTCGAAAAAAAAAATTTTTTTCAAAATAGAATATTAAACTGGTGAAGAAATACAAGAAATGTTAGTTTTATTGTACATAATAGATTTTCATATTTTGATTAACTCCAGAGACACCTATGTATGTACAGTGAAGTTATCCTGTATATATTTGGTTTTAGTTTTATCTATGTGAGGAAAGTTAAAGTGAAGATTCACACCACAGGTTCAGCATAAACAGACACAGAGGGCAGCATTACGAATGAATTTATAGAAACTGTGGTCTATATATAATATATTTTATTTATAATGAAATAGTAATAACACTATGTGCGATTATATTTATTATTTATAAAATGTACATAATATTTTAGTATTGAAAATGAAAAGGAAAGTATTGTAATTTATGATGTTGACTGTTCGGCAGCAGACGGAAGAGAGAGTTCCGACCCTAAAGCTTGCACTTTGGTTCTCGCGTAGTGTTGCCAACATGATGAGCCAAAGATAATGTTTAACTGTCAAATTGAGATGCGATGTAGGTTGCCAGGTCGCTACAGATCCATTCCCCCCCGGCGAAAAGTTTATCTTGAACTTCGGGCTGCCATCTTGAATTTTCTTGTAAATTTTTGTTGAGTTTTTTTTTTTTTAAGTTTTTATTTGATTAATTTTTGTTTGTTTGTGGCCGTGGCCGTTTTTGCTGGCGGTCGCCATGTTGTTTGGTGCATCGTTTGCTTGTGGCCGTGGCCGTTTTGTATGGCGGTTGCTGCCATGTTTGCTTGGTGCGTTGTTCGCTTGATTGTGGCCGTGTTGTATGGCGTTTGCCATGTTTGCTTGGAGCATTTGCTTGCTTGTGGCCGTTTTGTATGGCGGTTGCTGCCATGTTTGCTTGGTGCGTTGTTCGCTTGATTGTGGCCGTGTTGTATGGCGTTTGCCATGTTTGCTTGGAGCATTTGCTTGCTTGTGGCCGTTTTGTATGGCGGTTGCTGCCATGTTTGCTTGGTGCGTTGTTCGCTTGATTGTGGCCGTGTTGTATGGCGTTTGCCATGTTTGCTTGGTGCGTTGTTCGCTTGATTGTGGCCGTGTTGTATGGCGTTTGCCATGTTTGCTTGGTGCTCCCTGTCTGCTGCCGTGGTGGTTATAATCGACTCATTTTCCAGGTTAATGGGTGATTTATTGAGCACGTGTTGCTGTTGATCTCGATGTGCGTAGTCGGAGTCTCCATTGTAGGTACTAGAACGTTCTGTATTTCTTGCTCACTTGTAAATTATGCACATGTTTTACTTCCTTCTCACTTTATGCGTGTTTTTTATTCACTTTCGGGGTCACCAATTATAGAAACTGTGGTCTATATATATATATTTTATTTGTAATGAAATAGTAAGAACACTATGTGTGATTATATTTATTATTTATAAAATGTACATAATATTTTAGTATTGAAAATGAAAAGGTAAGTATTGTAATTTATGATGTTGACTGTTCGGCAGCAGACGGAAGAGAGAGTTCCGACCCTAAAGCTTGCACTTTGGTTCTCGCGTAGTGTTGCCAACATGATGAGCCAAAGATAATGTTTAACTGTCAAATTGAGATGCGATGTAGGTTGCCAGGTCGCTACAAATTATCGAGGTATCATTTTCGGAAATTAAGGATCCAATTCTCGGATAAAATATAAATTTTATTTTACTGGTCTCTTATGACAAATAATCGTATGAGTTGGTAGTCACAAACAGTCAAAAAGCTATGTCACAAACGTCAGAAAATTAACTTTAGTTAGACTTCACGAGTGTGTTATCAAAATGACAACAGAAAGTTGCACTTATGATAAAATTCTTATGACATTTATGCCATTTGGAGGTTAGGTTTTATGTGTGAAACGCTCGTTCAAACAGCAAAGACATGGCGTTTTGACAGTTCTTGAATGCCAACTAAACGATTATAGACCAGTAACACTACATTTATATTTTATCCGATAATTGGCCCTTAAAACCAGAACAACAATTTGTTTAATTATACTTTATGCATCCGACACGCTGTATAATTTTATATGCAAATATATTTTTATATAAAGTGGTTGCTTTATAAGAAAATAGTATGTCATGAATTGCTATTATTAAACGTTTCCATCTGAAATACGCGCAACAAAGAACAAAAAAGTTGATTTTTGCAACAATTGTAATCGATTTCAAATGGTATAATATATGACTTCATTGTATAAACAATGCTGCAAGATCAGACTGTAATGTAAGTGATTGTATTGTTTAAAATATATTTCACCATGAAATAATTTATAAAAAAATAAGTTATTTAATTAGGTAATTGGATAACTTATTCTAAAAAATATCAATTATGCCATGTATCGTTTAACAATGTAATTACATACATTTTGTAGCATTTATTATTTTTTTTGTTATTTCTGTATATTTGTTTATAACAATACATAAAATATTCTTATATTTTTATAAATTTTTCAAGTTAAATACTTACTGTATGAACTGTATGAACCAATATTGTAAAACTAATTGTAATTGTAATTGTATTGAACTAACAATGTAAAACTGTGACCTTTTAAAATTTATATATTATTATATTATTGTATATATTAAAATGAAAATTAGACGTTAACTTTAAATTATACTTGCATTGAAATAAAATATTGGTGTGAGATAAATAAAGTAATAAAATGATTTTTATCAACTTTTTAATAACATATGCAACCAATATGCAACTGATAATAGAAAGACAGCTAGAAATCAACATGCTCTGATTGCAGTTCTTTATATATAAGTGTGCTTCACTTAATAAAGAAAATAATTTATATATCAGTGAATATTAGATAGAGAATGGAACAATAAAAATTATTCAATGAATCTTTGAGTTTTATTTTATGTATCGCCTTAGAAAGACTTATTCATACATGTGATGTAATTTTCCTTTCTGATACGTCCCGACAGACAGGCAGAATTCCCAACAACATTGTTTATTCGAATACAGAACCTTAAAACAGCAAGCTAGTGTTTGATTGTTATTCAAATTAAGGAGTACGATCATTTAAATATATACAAGAAGTATTTACGTGGATATGCAAATAAATCCACAACGCCGACGTTCAAATTATATGTGGATATAATCCAGACGAATAAATATCATCCACGCATACATCCTTATGTACATACATGCGTTTTAATTGTGAAATAAATCAATGTAGCATATGGTTATATAAATTTGAGGAAAATTTTTTAAATCCTAATCAAACAAAAGTCGGTAGTAGTTTCGAGCAGCCTGATGTCTAGCAGTAGTGATATCGGTTTTTGCTTGGAAATAGAGATAGCAATAGGTTTCGAAGTGAAAATAGCTTTTATCCGGCATTGCTGCAATATCACCGACCGTAGGGTTGTCTTCTCTAATAAACCATGGGACCAATTTTCCGATAAGATAAAAACTAACATAACGTTGTTAT